ATATTAGGTACCTAATTTTACATATTTTGTATTACATAATATTATGTCTGTCTCTTGCAGTGTTGTTATCTTTGCGACTTTACGTCTTTACCTTTATCATGGTTCTAACTTCTATAGAAGTTCCGTATGTCAATGCCATATATATGAGCAATAATGAGCATATGTGCCGAAAGCTCGGTTTGAGCCTCACAAACATTTTTACAAGCCCTCCAAAAATATTATTTAGAAGCTTGGAACAATAAATTAAACAAAATAAACTGAAAGAACTTAGAACAATACAACTATTGAACTGTGTGTTTTGGTTTACATATAATATAGTTATTTTCTATATAATATAATATTATATACTATTTTACAGAGTGTCTTTGTTTGTGTTAAATTTATTTTAAGTATAGCAAATAATTTTTTTTTTAAATATTTGTTACTAAGTTTTAGGTATGTGATTTTATATTTATATAGAACTAAACTCAAGCCCCTCCAAATTTGAAACGCTATTTGAGCCTATGTTTACGAGTTTTATTTATATATTAATTATACGCTGAGTTGTATTAAATATTATATAGAAATATATCGGAAATAGGCATTTAATAGTAAAATAATTATACAGAGATCAAGATACAAATATATTGGTTAGCGAGAAGTAGTCGTAGTTCTGATACCTAATCATATATGACATTTTTTTTTAAAATTTATATGTATATGCATTTTAAGGACAACCAATGTGATAAATTTGAAATCGAGTTTATAATTTAATAAATGTCAAAAGGAACAGGAATTTATCATAAAATATAGTAATTTGGATTTTGGATCACAAGGACTATACAGTATGTAAAATTATTTATAATTCCGATCAGGAATATACCTATGTTTAACGTCAACGTAGTTTATCCTATTTAATTTCAAAAATAAATATTATAATTTATGACTAATTTTTTCCTTGGAACTTTTCTAGTTTACATCGCACAATTTTTCAAATCGATATTATTATTACATTGAATTTTGCACTTTCAACCTCTTGGTGGGAATAGTCTCCAAAAAGGGAGACCCCCTTCGGGAGCTATCATAACAGGTAACCTGACGTATGGTTTGACAAGTATAGTATCTACTGCCACCGATCTGTGATCGTCAGTCGTCTTACGGCTTTAACTTCAAAACTTCCTATAATAATCTGCATTCTGCACCAATATTCGTTTGCACCTACGTTTTAAAAAGAACATAAAAATATAAAATAACAAAAAAAAATCCAAAATTTAACGTGCCTGCACAAACTTGAAATATAGGTACCCTTTTTTCTTCAGGTCAAACTACTTTTTGGAATATTTAATGCATTTTGACTCATATAATATGTATAAACTTAAAATATTATGATCAAAATCGATCGAGCCGCGTGTGCGTGTCAGATGAGACAGGAGTGGGTACAATGAGTTTCAAACGACACGTTAAAAAATAAAAACGGATTCACAAATGTTTTCGAACAATAAAAGTTTATAAGGGATCGACGGACAGATCGGCGCCGCCGAACGCCGATGTGCAATGTGCAATGTGCATCGTGCGCCGGCTGAGCGTTTAACTTCACAGTTCACTGTGGTGTACTTCGTAGTTCGCACACGCCACACAAGTACGCATTACACACCACTACACACAAACTATCGTCAACTTATAAGTTCAGACCACAGTACCACACCGAACAGTGAACTGTGAACATTAAAACGCACAGTAGGTACACACGCCGGGCACACCATACGTATTTTGAATTATTACAATATGTATATAAAGCGTCGAGAGCGCATGCGCGCGCGCGCCTGTCCGTGTGTTGTGTTGCAGCACGCGGAGGAATCCGATTTTTGGCGCGCTTCCCGCCGCGGCGGTGGTCTCCATCCCGGTGGTGGGGAAAGCCGGTCGACGCAGCGGGGTTCCGGGGTCGAGCCCAACAGCTGTTCTCGATGAGCGGGAAACGGTTTGAACGCCGATTGCCGCCGCGCGGCCTGCCCGCCATTGGCGGGGCAACGGCAACGGCACACGGCAGCAGCCACCCGATTGGTCGCACCCCGCCACCGCCGGCACACGCACACGGACCGCTTCGATTCCCCGCCGCGCAACACCCTCCCCCCAACACCTTCAGCACAGTCGGTCCGCGTAAACAAAGGCTCCACCGCCGCCGCCGCCGAGTCACGAAAAATAACCCGTGTCCACCGTCTAATCACGAGGGAACGAAATAGCTTTACAACCACATAGAACCGTCGTCGTCCCGGTGTGTTTGCGGGAGCAGCTACAACTTTTCCCATGAGGCAGTGTAACGTATTATCCGCGTACGCGTTGCCGCCGCCGCCACATAATCATCGCGCGCGCGTGTGTGCATGTGTGTGAGTGTGTGCCTGTGTACGTGTGCGTGTGTTCCGTACAATTCGGTTTGGTTCAGTGTTGTTTATCGCCGACTGGACACTAGCGTCTTGTCTCGCGTTCCGGCCATAACCCGTTCAGAGAGCTGTGTGCCCGCCGAGCCATACCCACCGGCGCCGACGATATGGGACGCGATCGCCGCACCGTCAACGCCACCGCGGCTGACCATTGACCGGCGTTTCGTCGTCATCGCCGACGATTTCTCAGGGTAAGTGTAACGTAACTGCCAAGCATGGTGTCCCGCAGACTCCCGCGTCTCCGGCATCTGGACCGTGTCCGTCACCACCCCCTCCTACGAGCGACCGGACATAGCGCCTTCGTTTCAAAAAGCCTCGCGAATATCGTGTACTCGGCTCCGTCCCGTTTTCTGACCAAAGTTCCACCGCCCCTCCCGGCCACCCGACCAACACCCCCCCGCCTATCGGGTCGTCGCGCGCGCCAGGCGGTTCGCGGCGTTTCGTGCGTTGGTACGGTCGCGCGCGCGCCAGCCAAAACATAACCTCTATGTCCGCGTATCTCCGCGCCGCCGTTACAGCGTCTCTGGCTCTTCATCCCCTTTGTTTCCGGGACTTTTGAAATAGCACCGTCTCGTCGCGCCGTGCCGCCGCACTCCGTTCGTCAAATGAGATGTGCTCGTCGTCCGTCGCGGCCGCTAGTCACCGTCGCCACGCGAACCGGCCGCAGTAGTCCGTTGCTCTGCAAAACAACCCTAGGGGCAGCGACAGTGTTTGTGTCCACCGAAGTCGACTAAACACCTCGTCCGTCGATTCGGTAATGCTTTCATTACTGTCTGTGCACACCGATAATTGGACTAAGCCAACATCCTTCCAACTGGTCACGAATGATCAAATCCCTTTGTCTTGCTCCCCATACACAACCCTTTCGTTTTCAACACGTCAACTGGATCACCGATGAGTTTGTTAGTTATGCACTGTTGTTCGATTTTGTCTAGGAATCTTATTTTGATGCTTTTTGTATTGGCTACTGTTCCGTGTATGGTATGTTTGAATTTCACTCATTTATATTTCTTTGTCAACGTTCTGTTGAACTTGTAGTGGAAACAAATAATGATGTACCTAGGTAATTTCACTAACACTGCTGCAAACACAGCTTATTATTTTTTTATCAATTTGAACCTTTTTAAATATTTATTTTTGAATTTTCTAACCTTTTGCTAAAGCCTTCTCAGTAAGCCGGTAAAGTGATAATCCAGACTCGCCAAGAAATCTGTCCTTGTTTTTGATAATATAGACAAAAAAAAAATTACTAAATATATTATATCTGTCCTAGGTACCTACTACCTTTATGTACCTATAAAATAATCAATATCTAAAATCTAAATTATAAAATAAATTAATTGTAATAAATGCTTTAAAAGTTTAAAATGTATAACTTTACCTATCTACCTACCTGATAGAGTATGTTTAATTAGTTAATTAATACATATAGCCATATAGGTACTATTCTCCAATTACCTATTGAATTATAATTATTTAACTCGTTATTTAATAAGTAGTTGACATTACTTTAAATACATTAATCTTTTATGTTATATCATGTATTAAAAAGAAAAATAATAATAATAATAATTGTCAAGCTATTATGGTTGTAATAACTGAAAGCTAATAAAAAAAAAATTAATTAATTAATCTTATAGGTATTACACATATTTTTCCCTAAGCTATTTCTGGGAATAATATTTGGGTAGGTTTAATAATTAATAAACTAATTTCAATATACCTACATTTTGTTCCAATAACATATATCTATAATTGTGATAATTTTTTATTTTAACAGAATGGAAAATGTTTGAAAAGTTAATCTAAATGAGATTAAATAAAATTACAATTGTTTTTTTACATACTTATTAGGTCTAAACCCTTTTTCAATAATAATCAATACTTACTAGCTTTATTTGGTCAATCCCATTAAATCATCAACTAGTGTTAAAGATCAATTACCTATCTATAATATAATAATAAGTTAGTCATAGTTGTAGGAGGAGTTGATTGATTATTCCTGTATCTTAAATAGTTGTAGATTTGCCATAATATGAGAAATAATTTTTGTACCTATTACATTTTAAAGTTTTTCCTCCCCTTCCAATGACACTGTATGACAATCATTATTCCTTGTGCAACCCCCATAACAAAATTAAATTTAAATTATTAAACCCACAGAAATCATCAAATAAAATGTTCAACATTATTGCCCTCATAAAATACCGAGTAAAATACTAAAATACCAAATCTTAATGCACATCATAGATACATCCTAGTATACCTTCTTTTCTTATCTCAAGTAGGTTACACCTACCTATTTATATTTTTTAAAACTAAATATTAAATAAATATATTTGGTACTTTTTATTTGTTTATGATGGGGGCATATTATTAAAAGAACCAAGTCCAGAACTCATTTTCTTCTTTCTACCTTATGCTTTATCATCCTTGGAGTTTTTTTTTCTGGCTTCCTCAAATATTTTATGACTTTTCAATTAGTGGTGTAAGGTTCTATATTAAGTGCCTACCTATCTTATTTTATAAAAACTTAAAAAATAATTCATTTTTAACAGCAAAATTCTATATTTATTTTAGGTTTAGCAGTTTTTGAAGTATACTGTACAAAATGTCTAAGGCATGCAGGATGTTGAATCTGGACGAGGATGGATCTTCTACTCCAAATACAGCAATAATTAAATTAGGTGTGTGATTTTTTAAATTTTTTTTTTATTACTTATATTTGAGTACTTATTATTAATTTATCAGTTATATAATTATAACTGTCAACTATATAAAGTCTACCTATAGGTACATATTTTATATAGGTACCTAATCTCTTAGGTTTATCTTATTAAGTTTATTTAATTAGAGTTTTAAGTCATCATAACAAGGTGTAACATTAAGACCTGACAGATGTAATAACTTTTGTCATTTAGTTTTAATTTTTATATAATTTATTGGTTTGGACACTACACGTATAGTATACCTAACATTTTTTTTAATAATGAAAATAATCAATTTAGATCTGTTATAAATTTTATTTGAATATTTGAAAATAGCCAATTTGTAAACCTGGTTCTAGGAAACTTTTGATTGTAATGGCATTTATTATCTAAGTCAAATGATTTATTTTTTTAAACAATTTTAAATATCAATTTTTGAAGTTAGGTAATACATTTTTTTAGATATGACCTAACAAGTTAAGTAGCTATTTAAAAATTCTCGTTTTTTACAACTGGATCAATTTAACTCAAAAATATAATGAGGTTTAAAAAAATGAACTACCTAATTATATGAACTATCTTAAATAAATGTTTTAACAACCAACATTTTCCTAAAAACAGATTTACAAATTGGCTATTTCGAATTTGAAAAAAAAATAAATGAATTTCAGATTTAAATTTTTTATTTTCAGTATTAAAGAAAATGTTGGTATACCTACACTATCCCTTTAACGTAAGCATTGTAAATTAAATAAATTAAAATTAAAAATATTGATTAGAACAAGTTATTTCATTTTTCATTTATTTTGTCAGGTCTCCCTGTTGTAGCCTCTATACTGAGTTTATTATCTGGACACTTTTAGTAGGTACTTATTTTAATATTTTATACATACATAACCTATCGTTTTCTATATAATATATTATGAACTATAGGTATGTCCATATATTCATATAATATTTTAATAAACAGTAGCTTTTGTTTATTTTATTTTTAAAGCATTGACATAATTCTTTTGGTTCCAATTAATTTATATACCCTATCAATATTTCTAATCTTATTTAATTTTAAATCTTAAGTTTTTGTTGTAAACCTTTTTAATTACATTATATGCTAATCTTAGGAGACAAGAATTCATTATAACCTTTTTATTTTATAACAAAGGATCTAGTATTTTACTAAACTGATAAGTCGATATATGTGCTATATTGTAGTATTAGCAAGTAATTCCTCTGTATTTATACTTAATGATATCTTAGTTGTATTGCTCAACAGTGAAAAAAAACTGAAAATTACGTGTATTTTGATTGGCTGTAACTTGGTCAATTTTGGACTTCAAAAGTTGGTTCAACTATCAAAATGCATTAAAAAATTAGGCATAAATAAATTAGTAGTTAAAATAGGTGGTTGTCATTGAAGAAAAAAAAGTTGTATTGCTCATGCGCAAGTCTAATTAAGTTAAATAATTCATAGGCCATCAAAAAGTATATTTTTATGTCATAACAACCAACTAGAAAACAGAATTCAAATTGCAGGGCCCTACTCAAAGATATTGAGTGTTCTCAATTAGTGATTACACACTGTATAAATTGTTTAGGTATTATTTATTAATTATATTCTAAAATCAAAATATGATTTTGACGCTAATCATGTATTTGAGCTAAATAATTTTGCATATATATTATGAAACAAGGATTTCCTGTCTACAACCTCCCACTTAACATTAACTTTAAAAGCTATTTGAAAGTCGTAGAAGTTGATAGTCAATGTTCATAGGTTTTACCCAATAGATATTCAACAGTGAATTGTTTAAGGACCTCGAGTACTGTGGTGGCTATTACCTATGCACTGTGATACTCATAGACAACCGGTTACAAAAAGTTAAATCAGTTATAACAATGTAATTATTTTTAGCTTAATTATTATTTATATTAGGTACCTATGTCTTATTATATTTAAGTTGCATAATTTATATATTTAACATATTTATAAATAATCAGCATATATTCGGCATATATTTATTATAATTAAGTGGACCATGCCAACAAATTTTTTTGTTATAACCACCACTTCATTACTAGATGATTTTAAATAGATAAACTTTTGACTTAATAATATAAATATTACACAATATTATTTTCAAGCCTTAATTTAATTTTAATTTTAATTTAACTGTTTTTTTGTTCATACTGTATATTGTTTAAACACAATATGTTATAATATATTTATTTTACAGATCAAAATATGACAACTTTCTTAACACCATCACCATATCATTTGCTAGATCATGAATATGGCATGACACCACAAAATCAAATCATTCCAAATCCTCTTACATCACCATTAACAAAGTCACAAGTAAGTAACAATGTAATACTTATAGTAAAGTATTTAATAAATAAAACAAAATGTACCTAATCTGGATAACATTAATGAATTAAAATAAAAAAAAAACTAGTTTTAATTTTTAAATTTTACAACACTCATTCATTTATGTATTATGTATTATGTATTGTGTTTATGTATTATGTATTATTTATGTATTTATGCCTTTCAATTATTTACTACTAATAACTCTATTACTAAAGAAAAAGTAAGTGGGAAAGTGGGTACCACTTTGCTGTACAACAGGTATCAAGTGGGTTAGTCACTGTAATGGATGTGTTAAATTTGAATAAATTGTATATAAAAAACACATTTCTGAGTAGAGACGGTCTTCTATCAGCCTATATTATTTAGTATCATATTATGACACTACTGTTGCTATTGAAGTAATTAATTTTACTAAAAGTAAACACAGGAGGTTGAATTAATTTTTGACAAAAACATAGCATACGAAAATGCCTTTGTGTGTATAGACAATAATAATATACTTATAAACTTTAAAAGTTTCAAGTACCTACCCACGAATAGTATTTTTAAATCATAACAAAATTACTAAAAATTGTATTCTTTCAACTACAAAGTTACTTGCAAATTTTCGTGATTTTATTAAATGTTGTCCAATTTGAACATATAATAGATATATTATTTTTAAATTTTTCTTATGCATAGGTATTTAATATTTTTAAATTTCTGAAATAACAACTTAATAGGAATTTTGCATTAAATTTCCAAACTTTTTGCCTCATTGAAATAGTTTTTATCAAGATGTATAGAATAAACATTAAAAATTGGAAATTTTCATCAAAAAGAATCAAAATATTTTAATATTTTACTATCTATAAAAAGTGTTATTTAACACGTGAATATCGAAATTCACACAAAATTTGAACTCAGTTTCATAAAGTTTTCATAATAAGTTAAAGACTTTACAGTAAGCTTCTTTATTTTGTAATAAGTATAAAAACTTATGGCTAGTTTTAAAAGGAAATTTTTTATGAATTTCTAATTACGAATGAAAATTATTTCTATTTTGATAAATACTTATAAAAATATATCTGACTATGTATTTTCAGTAATTTTAAATTGATGAAAACAATGAGGAATCTTCAACCATTTTAAAAGTTATGATCTAACAAAAAAGAATTGATCGACATTTATAAAAAAAAAAAAAACCAACAAATTTGATAATTTCAAATGTGAATAGCTCAAAAAAAAGTTAAAATATTTTGAAACTATCATGTATCCCCAATTATTCATTTTTGAGCTCAACCAAAAAATATAAAATTGACTATCAAGAACTGGGTTTACTTAAACATTACAGTTTTTTCGACTATTTTGATATGTACTAGAAAAGATAACTATTCATTTTTTTTTCTCTTTACCTCCCAAGGTGCCAACTAGATCCAAGTTGCTACCAGAACCTATCCCTAAGTTGAAAATCAAAGAATTTTTACAACCCCATCATATGACTGCCCCCATCCCCCCAAAAAAATGTATATAGAAATAATCTTTATTTTTACTTTAGAAATATTGTACATGATGAATAAAATACATGAGTGGTTCTAATATCTAGAAAATAAATCCTGACCCTTTGTTATTTATTTTAAAGACTGCTATTTCTCTATATTTTCAAATTCTAACTTGTATTATCATTTATTGATATCTTGTTTAAGGGTGTAAAACGAAGATTAAATTTAGAGTCACTCAATTTTGGATATGACGATGTTACACCTTCAACAGCTAAGCTAATGAGAAAATGGTCCAGTTCAAGTGCTGGCAGTGAACCCAGTCCTGCTCAAAATGGTTAGAAAAATAATATGAAGATTTTAACTTATTTATATGTTTGCTTAATTTAAGTAATAATGTATATATTTATTATTTTAGTAGCAGGAAAGAAGTGTTCTGAACGTCCAACACGTTATGATACGCTTTGGCTTATTGACCAAAAAATTTATTGGTCTGCTTGAAAATTCTACAGATGGTGTTGTAGATTTAAATATAGCATCAGAAAAGTTGGATGTACAAAAACGAAGAATATATGACATAACCAATGTTCTAGAAGGTATTGGAATTTTGGAAAAAAAATCCAAAAATAATATTCAATGGAAGTAAGTTGCACACAATATCTTAATTAATAATATATCATACGTGTATACCTTGTACGTAGTGTGGTATTAACACAACAACTTTTTTTCAGAGTGGAAATGCATTTGGGTCGGACAAAAATAATGTTCAACAGGACTTAGAAAAAATGAAAGCCAAGAAGAAGAATTAGCTAATTTGATTTTAAAATACTGGTATAGTTAAAATAATTAAAATATAGTTTTTAAATTCATACAAACATCATTAATTTTGTTAATTAAATCAACATTAAGTTTATGATGCAATTTCTAAAATATATGAAATACTGTGGTTATAAGCATATGCTTATTATTAATTCTTTTACGAAGTATTTTATTTTTTTAACTTTATATATGCATTTTAAAATATTTTATTGATATTTTTTTATAGAGCGAGATATAAAACAACTGACAGAAGATAAAAGATTTGGATATGTAACTTATCAAGATATTAGGTCTGTTGAATCATTTAGACAAAAGACTGTTTTGGTTGTTAAAGCCCCTCCAGAAACTGAATTACAAGTACCTCAAGATCACACTGATGGAGATGTAAGTATAATATTGAATTTAATTTAGGTCCTAAGCAGAGTGATCTTACAATGATAGGTTCAAAAAATTTAATTTATCCTATAAATTAATTAGTTTGAAATACCAGAAAAATGATCAGAATGTACATAAAGCGATTCAAATTAAAAACCAATTCAGTGGCTCCCAAGTTTTTAAAATGTGGTCGGGCAATTTTGAAACTTCGCTACCTCAATATCTTAATTATTTAATATAGATGTACCGACCTTAATATTTATTTACTTATAATCATGTTTTAAATATACTCATGCTCATAATGAAGTTGTGATGTAAATTTAAATGTGCACCAGTGCCACTGGGTCAATTTAACATTTTCTTTTTTGATTCTAATAAACGGTTGTTTCTACGAACCAGTGACCACATTAAGTAAAACTCATTTTATTGGCATTTTTAGATTCTGAGTGGAGCGAGGAAGCTAGTGGTTTTACAATGATATATTTTTTTTTTTTATCGTGTATACAAAATTTCTACCAAAGAGAGTGCTTCGATTTCAACATAAATACTCTATTCAGCAAGAGTTGACTTATTTACGCACATGCATATTGAGCCTCCTGAACATTCAGACCCCCTGAGTGATTGGTCGGCAGTGCTCGTCGTAGTAGGCAACTGCTATTGGTGACGATCACCACTAGCGCTCCAAGGTCAGTTTTCATCGAACGAGTGAGTCAACTCTCGCTGAATAGAGTATAGTACCTTATCTTTTAGCAAATTGGATCAAGATGGTACTTTAGAGACGACATTTTTCGATTTTCTCAATAGTTATTTAATGCCACTGGAAAAACTACTGACAAATTACCAAAAACCGCTTAAAATGGGATTGTAATTCCTAACGATTTGTTTATCACCGTAGCAACAAATAAAAAATTATAATATTATAATATTAATCCAACTTAAAGGCTATAATAAATAACAAAAATTAAAAAAAATCCAGACTGATTAACTGTCTCCGCTCAGAATCATTTTTCTTATACAATGATATTATAACATTGAATTCAAGTTTAATACAACCCATTATACATTGACCCAGTGACGCGCTAGGGGGGCACTCCATGCAAATGCCCGGGGCCCCGTGCCCCCATGTCTTTTTTTCATAATTGTATGGCACGCAACTTAAGAATAATTTTTTGTAAATAATTAATTCAGCCTACCTATACTGATTACCGAATTGAAAATACTACGGTAAATAGTAAATACAACACCTCGGTCAATAATAACAACCGATAACGGCAATATTGCAATAACTCGTTAGCCTTTAGGTGATCATGTTTACAACTTTAAAAAAAACTCTAAAACCAAAAAACCTTAAGCGGTCGTTTACTAGTGTTTTCGTTATTCGTTACTAATTGTTTATGTTGTAATATACTTAATTGTCATTTATCTGTCTAGCCGACAACCGTGTAGCTTGTAATGTGTACATTGTACTTGTACAAGACACAAGTCGATTAGTGTGTACAGTGTACACAGTACATTTACCTAGCAAATTGTTTTCGTTTGGTTTATTGCTTACGTACCTAATATGAACTAAATAACTATATTACATTTTTAATACCTTTTACACTATTTTATAAATTAAAATCATATAATATCATATATATTAATCATGTCCAAACGTGTATATCCAAGTTTTATTATAATTTACTCACTACTTACATTGACTCATGAATATATAAATATATTTTTTTGTTTAGTATGATTTATTTTGCTATAAGTTTCATATGTATGTTTTAATTTTGATGATTTATTGATATCTAATAAAATGTATCACTGCTGGTAATTGGTATCTGAAAACTAAAAAGTGTCTAAAGATTGCCAGCTATAATATAAAATAAAATATCAAGTCTATGAAGGTACCATTTAGTTCCATAATCATCAAGGGCCCCACCAAAAATGTTGCCCAGGGCCCCAAAATATGTAGTGCCGTCACTGCATTGACCCACTTGTAACCTACTGTACAGCAGAGCGACATCCACTTACCCGCTTTTTAATCATCTATATGATAAAATGTTCAAAATATTTTGATTCTTTCTGACTTATTTACAAACATTTAAAATGAAAAATTGTTTTAGTTTTTTTTCTATAAATGTCAAAAAAAAAAAAAATTGAATTCAAATTTGCCTGACTCCTCAATTATGAAGTACACTTAAAATAAACTCTAAAGCAGAGTGATTGATATGGCTCATATTTAAATGCCCTAAAATTATCAAAATAAATGAATTTAACATGTAAAATGATGTGCGTACGTTATAAATGTAAAGATCCGAGTAAACAATTTAATTTGTGGGCATGGCAGACACCTACAAGTGCCCAACTTGAGATTCTGCCAAACCTAAAAAATGTGTTTCAACTAACCGTTCCACCCCCCCCCCAAAAAAAAAAAAACAGCTAATGGCCATAGTTGGGCTTAAATACAATAAAAAAATTTATAATCACTTTATTAGGTACTTTACTACACTATAATACTCCGATAAAAGTTGTATGCGATTAAATTAAATTAAATTTGTGTGAAATAAAGATACATTTTAGCCTTATCTATTTAAAACCCAAATTACCTGATCTTGTATAGTAAAAAATTATGTAGTACTATGTTTATATTTCAATACATTTTTTAATCGTATTAAAAGAAATAGATAAAATGTCTATAAAAATTAAAAGATGCTTTAAAAACATGCAAAAAAATATTGTGGTGACATATGGAGTACTTGGAAAACATTGTTTAAGTTTAAGACATTCCAAAAAGAAATATGCAAATAAATTTTCTCATTGAAATCCAAGTCCTGGTGATTACCTACTTAACCCTAACCCTTTTTTATATTTTTTTTTATTTTTTTTTTTTCATAGCAAAAGATGTATATGAAAAGTAACACTGGTGAAATAGAGGTGTTCTTATGTCCAGAGTATAATACCAATACAATTTTACACCAACCACAAAGCCAGTTAAGGCCGTATACATCTCAGGTTAGTACCTATAATTGTAATTAATATTTCAAGATTTGAAATAATTTTAAATTAACATTTTTATAGGGTGCCAATAATTCAACAATTGGCTATACAGTTATAAAATCGCCTCAAAAATCATCAGTTATTCAACAGTCACCTACATATTTATCACACAAATATAAAATGGAAAACATTGAGGAATCAGAAACTGTAGAAAATGTAGAGAATACAACAATAAGAAAATTCAAGGAAGAGCCATTGGATGATCAGCAGTATATACCTAGTACAAGTGGTTCTGGTATGCAAATTATTACACATATACCACGTTACGTTTTACATGCACATCCTGGTTTATGCATGATATGGCCATGAAGTTCCAAACTGTTACTGTTGCTCGCTTATATTTTCTTCTACTTTTTTTTTAGTTCGAACTAATATTTAACCTTCTTAATACTATACTAGCTTTTATATTTGGTTCCCACTTTTTCCTAACTATTTAAGTGAATAGTAGTATGATGCATGATAGAAATATTATTCTAAATGAGCGATTACTGATCATGTTCATTGGTTTACCTGTAGTTTATTTTGTTTTGTTTTTGTTTTTGTTTTTTATTGACAGTCATTTACAACTATTTACAACAATATTATTATATAAAATACTATATCTTATAATTTGTAATGTTTATTGAAACATGTGATACCTATCTTATTTCTTTTTAATGTTAAACATTAAATAGAATTTACTTGTTATAACATTTGTTGTATACTCTCATTGGTTAGTGGCATTTAATCTAAATGATTCATTGCTATTCAATCAAATATTTTAATACTGAAAGGTGGCAATATTTGTAATAACATTTAGTGGAATAATATCTATAAATATGTCATATTACTATTTAATATTTTGTTCATTAGTATTCTTAATAGTACATATTTGGTATGTGTATTATTCACATCATGTTTTGAATTTGTACAAGATAAAGTCATTACTTTTTAGTTACAATGCAATATTATTGCCACCTTTTTTCTATTACTTTTTACCACTTAACTAATTTTGCTAGATAAATCTCATTATTTATAATAAATATTTATATATATTTTTTTTTGTAGTTACTAGATTATATTTCTTTTTCTTGTACATAACTTATGGGTTAATTTCAGTCGTAAATCTTAACAAAATAAAAATTTTGTGTATTTGAATGTAATTTAGACTTTATAATAATGTTCTTATAGATAAACCAAATTAAATGAATCTCAATGATACTTAAAAAGTAATAAATTATCATTTTGCTGTACAAAGTTTTTATTTTTATTATATTATTAATAATACTAAAATTTTAATTTTTTTTTTTTTTTTGCTTATGTGTTATATTACCTAACCTTGTCTTGTATTATATACTTTTTGCTTTTTTAATCTTATAATAATACTATAACCCTGTTGTAACTTGTTGGGGAATATGAAAAGCAAAATTATACCTTTTACTGTAGCTATATTTTTGCTCATCCATCCACATTATCCGAAAATTAAAACATTTGCCATTCATTGCTTCGGGTATACTGCTGTTGGGAAAACACAGTCATGTCGGTCGTCCGCTGAATTTTACGAGTGCCGCATGTAATGTATGTCTTGTAG